GGTCGATCTATTATTAATTAACACCGATGCTTTAATTTCGAACATGGTTGTCGCATCTCTAGTTCGTAGGCTGTCGCTCGCGTCCGATCTACTGCGGCCGCGCGGCGTCGATAAGGTTAGGGCGGGCGAGCGGGCTAGGGTGCCGGCGAGGGAGCACGTGCGCGGAGGCGCGCGACCGCGTGCGAGGTGCGGAAGGGAGGGGGCAGGCAGGCAGGCCCATCGCATGGCATCGCGTTGCCGCCACGCGCCACCGCCTGCTGCCAGCCAGCAGCCAACCCGCCCGCACGCTCGTACTGGCCGCAAAGCCTGCCTCACCTCGCCTCGCCACGCCGCACTGCAGCGCCCTCTCGCTGCAGGATGCGGCCGATCCATTGAATCTGGCTTTCAGCCGCGCCTACTCCTCCCCTGCAATGAACACGCTCTCCACGAACATCTTCTGCGTGTTTAGGATGGGTTGTTTAGAAGGAAAAAGCATTTCATTGATACATAAACAACAATGTGCTTGGTCTGCTGTGCAACCTTCCATTTTCTACAACTTTCACGATTATTGATGTACACAGTTCCCACGTGATTTTACCAAACAACATACTGTATATTATTAACGTTAGGTAGATGTCACCTACACAGTTGTAATGGGGATTGCTCAAGTTGGGTCAATCATTGCACCGTCATCGAAATAGTGGTATTAACATTGGTTGTTTCTTGCGCTTTTTTGTGCGCTTTGCCCGGAAATCATGTAATTTCAATGCCTGTTGCATAGACTCACAGGAATTTAAAATTCCTTATGTTTTTTGAGATTCTTGAATGCGCACCCGGGCAACTGCGGCGGGAACCGTTCTGAGTTCTGTTGTGATCGAATACCAGTAAAGTTAAGAGTATTTTCGAATACAATGATTTAATTTTAACTATTGATTATGGAGTGTGGTATGCAAATTCGCCACCTACATGTCTCATTTTTTCATTAGTCCTCTTTAAAATCAAATATCAGTCTGAGTTTCTTACATCTATTTATACATTTATCTTCTAGTACCCTATCTTTGAAGCGATCACCAGCCCCTCAAATGCAGTATCACTATTTTGATCATTGTAAATGACGCTTATATGCTTTCATTATTTAGAGCAAAAGCTTATCAGTCGTGTTTATCAGTCCTAAACCGTGTGAACGACACTTGAGAAATAGATAAATACAGTGCTATCCCAAAGGAAAATAAAAGCATGTATTATAGCAATTTTTCTACTTGAAGTAGGTTCGTGATATGATTAGATTTATTTCAATATACAAGGTGCATTATCTCCGATGAAAAATTACCGTGTTGTTCATAATAATAATAATAATTATTATTATTATTATTATAGCAATAAATAATAAATTTGTTTACCTATTTGATCACAGAAGCAGTATAGATTTAGTTGGTTTGTGTTGTAATTTTGTTTCAGCCGATACGTCACCGGAACTTTGTTGAACACTTGGGAAGTTATTTGCAAACAGCTAGTGCTCAGCAGTTCTGACGACCGGTAGCTGAGGTCGACAGCGATTGGAGAGCAGCGCGATACGCTACAGTTATAATATGCATTCCATTTCCAACTTTGTGTTTTTCGTCGTTTATTTCCTTGATTTTTTTTTCTTTTGCAATATTTAGAAATATCCTCAGTTTCGATTCACTTAAACACAAAAAATATTTCAGTTCCTTGCATTTCACATCAAAATGACACAATAATCATGTTTGTCTAATTGAGAAGAAGACTTTTCATTTCACCTGAATTCAAACATTCTGTATTTTATGCGAATACTTCCATTCCAAACGTATAGTATGAGTTATTTTTAAATGCAGGAACCGCATAATATAAAACGTAAAATCCTTCCTTGCTTGTGCTGAGTATGGCTTTCATATTAACCATCGTCATAATTTGTAGATATGTATGTGCCAATTGTTATTGATGAATCAATTTTACTTCTCGATCGGTTTTCTCTGTTTTTGACGTTTTTGCTTAGTGTACGTAATCGACGAAGAGATGTAATATTTCGACGCTCTCCTAGTACATGGATTCTTTGTGATGTTTCGATTCATCTTTCAGTTGAGATATCATGGAACAGGTTTATCTTTTAATTCTACATTGATAATTGATTGAAAGACGTAATATTGCGTATTTTCTTACTTCGTCATTGGTTTATGATATTGTGCTTCTCTTATGTTCGTCTTGAGTATTTAACAATTTTCACGTTGTATATTTTCACATGACGGTGTAATATATTCAGTATTGTTTCAGAAACTTCGCTCTTTTAAATGCATATTTTCTCATACACGTTTTTCTGAAGACTATTTTTCTTTCACTTAAATATGAATCTATAACACTCGAAAGTTTAATCTTCGTATTAACATTCACTACTTCCCACTAAGTAAGATCTAATGGTGATTGTCCGCCCTTCGCAGAGCTGTAGCCTGCTCTCTCCCTCGCGTCCCCACGTCCTGTGGTGGCCATTCATCTCGGCGCACCTCGCTGGGCCTACACGGATTCACGCGGCCTACGGCTACGCGTAATTCACCGGAGGCGCGCGCGTACGCGCCCCGCTCCCCGCACACCCATTCACCCGCGCGCGCGC